ACAGCCGCTCATACCGGTGCTACATTCATACCCTCACTCACACATCCACGGTTTTACTCTAATCCACCCACACCCTCAAGAAAGTAATTCATCAGTATGAATTAGAAAGAAAACTATTACAGATATCTTTATAGAAGAATAACAAACCATCTTTTAACCTTTATCCTCAAATATGATTTGCTTGACTTACTCGTCTTTTTCACTGACTATTGGAAAAGTCTCAAAATTTGGCAGTTTTTTATTCAGTGAAAATATTTAACATTAACACAAAATAAAAAGATGATATTAGCATGTAAATTGATAAGTCTTTTATTTTATAAATAATAATTTCAAATAAGAAAACATGTTACTTATTAATCCGTGAAAAGACATCATATAACTACTGGAATAACTTGAGCAAAACAAGACGTTAGTGTTGTTCAATATCAGTTAATGTGAATCAATATATTAAACAGAGGATTTTTGCCGATTTCATGCTTTTAGTTGCATAAGTCTTCGCGTATGCGAGAGAGAGGTAATATCGCTAATCACATCATATCTCTCTCAAGAAGATAAACGTCAATTATATTTTATCTAGGGATGGCACTTTATAGTTACTTTTGAAAAAAGAAATGTATGCCACTCTTAGTGTTACTTTTTTTCTCGTTTTGTCTTTCTCCTGAATCAGAGTGAAGTTACAAAGAGAAAAAAACAGGAAGAACAGACCCTTTTTGATATTAAATAAAAATGTAGGTAGCACATAAAGAAGAAAAACTATTACCAAGAATTGTTTTTAGATTGTAAATGCATTCGATAATTAAAAACATTTCAGTTTTTATTAAATCAATAATATACAATGTAGAATAATGCTACATTAAAAAAACAGAACAAAACTTGAAAATAAAAAAAAATATCTATTACTTCCTGGTTATTCAAACATCAAGATATTGAGTTTGACACTTTCCTGTGCACAGAAATATATTACATTTACATTATGTATGTGTTGCTATAAGAGCACAGCACACACTCTCAAAAATATCAAATAGGGAAATATGAATAGTGTAAACTCTAGTTAGTATTCTTTGTCATTTTTTTTTTTCATAATGAAGTGCGGTTATAGGCGAAGATTCTTTGTTATAATATTTATATTTTTAGCATTCTTTATTTTATTCTACACTCTTTTTAAATTCTCATATTTGTGTTATAATTAAACAACAATGTTATACTTTTGGAATTTTCGATGGTTAATATTACAATTTATATTCGGTCTATTTAATATACACTATGTAAAAACAGCTTGGCCCTTGTCAAATTTTTCAAGTATACAATTCTTAGGTCTTTTTCCAGACGCATCAAACACATCCGAACCTACCACATTATCTGTTCACTCTCGTGCTATGTTCAAAGCAGCAATAATGCTTTCTCAGCAATATAATATAACAATTCAAGGACAATATTTTGGATGGAATGCAGCACAAACAGATGGAAATGTCATGGATGCTTTTAGTAGTACTTGTTTGGCAGTATCGACTTCAGACGTTGTGGGTATTGTGGGCCCTGCATTTTCAAGAGAAGCTCATACTATTGCTGATTTTGCTAATAGAGTTAGTATACCTGTTATATCATATTCTGCGACCGATCCTGATTTATCTGATCGGAATGCATATCCTGCTTTTTATCGTACAGTTCCTTCAGATAATACAGCAGCATTCGCAATCGCGAAATTATTCATTCGATTTAATTGGACATCATGCATAGTTATCTATCAAAATGATGCATTTGGATCTGGCGGTGCAAAAGTAATCAGCGAGGTATTTAATAATAATGGTTTAGAAGTCAGTGGCACGATAATATTTGATATTGCAACACTTCGTATTCGTGGCAACTTGAAAACCTATTTAGCCAGTAGTTCAACGCGAATTGTACTGTTATGGACTGATCCAATTTATACAACTTTAATTTTACAAAATGCATTAGATTCTGATGTACTTGGTCCACAATTCACATGGATACTAAGTTCAAGTGTTCCGTTGCAGTCTTTTAATCAGACATTCAATGATAAGTTAATTGGAATGTTTATTATTGAACCTGTCATTGGAAGTGTTGTCAATGCACCAATCAATATAACATTGTTAAATACAGCATATAGTATTTGGCAACAATATGAGCCTGAATCATTTCCTGGACCGACGAACGTAAATTACTATGCATATTTTGCATTTGATGCGACTTGGATGTTAATTCAATCATTACAAGAATTTTGTTCAACACCGATGAATAGCTCTACTTCATGTATATCATTTATCGGTTCTCCATACTGTTTTGATCGTCGTCTTAGTAATTCTAATTCTCTTTTCGATAAGATTACGAATACAATATTTCTTGGTGTTTCTGGTCCTATACAATTTAGTGCCAATACAACAGATAGAACAAATGGTACATACTATTTGGCACAAAACGTACAGCCTTCCGGCAATGGTATAAATTATATGTCGGTTTTAGAATGGTCTCAATCTAATGAATGGGAAGTATCTACAGAAAGTGTAATTATATGGCCTGGTAATACATTGATACCTCCTATTGATCATGCTATACTTTCAGGTGTAACTTTACGAATTGGTATTATTGAATCAAGTCGATTTACAATAGTCCAAGATGTCATAGATACATATGAAAAGAATAAAACAGAATTAACTGGTTTTGTACTAGATCTTATTAATATTTTACAAAATCAAATGGGATTTATGTTAGACTGTAGCTAACTACTCCTGGTTCTCGTTTATTATCACTAAGAGATAGGAAGAACACACTTGATCTGCATGACCAATGAAGAGAGACTAAGAGTGAGAGAAACACAAGAGAGGTAGTGGTGAAAGATGCCACTACCTAACACCTCCGCCCTTTACCAGTGAACAGGTATATCTGTTCACGAAAAGATAATAACAAACAAAGAGACAGATAGTGGAAAATGAGAAAAACAGAAA